TGACATTTAATTAAAATTTGATTTTAATTAAATTATCTCGCCCTAAATGTTTCTTGAAATTAGAGTTGGACTCTAATTTGGTATTTAATTAAAATTTGATTTTAATTAAATAAGTTCACCATAATATTTTGGAATTAGAGTTTGACTCTTATTTTGTATTTAATTAAAATTTGGTTTTAATTAAATTCAACCGTATTAATTTGATTATAATTAGAGTTGGACTCTAATTTGGTAGTTAATTAAAATTTGATTTTAATTAAATTGTTTTGCCCTAAAATTTTATTGGAATTAGAGTTGGACTCTAATTTGGTAGTTAATTAAAATTTGATTTTAATTAAATAATCCCGCCCTATGAAATAACCAATCACAAACAAAAATACTAAGATTTTACGTTGAAACCCAAGATCGGAAAAAATCACGGGTTGAAGAGGAGAATTCACTAGATCAAAATCAAGATTAATTATTGTTGTTACAAGATTTGACGCACACCCAACCAAATCTAATGTGTTTCTAATGTTATGAAGAGTCTACAAGTCATGAAATATACACACAACCCCTAAAACAGTGTTTGGAATGGAATATGTATCATTAAACACGTCAAAAACTGAAACACAATTCTGGTCAGATAAGACGGCCGTTCAAGCGGCAATCTCGCATCCAGCGCTCGAGAGGAAGATAGGTGTTCAGCGAACGAAAATGCAACGAATTTTTCTCCTCTGTCCATATTGGACTCTTTAAAGACCTCTTCATCCAAATATCAATTTCCTCTCAACCAAAATATCAATTCTTAATAGAATTGGATCACAATTCAACGAATCTCCACCTTAACATAAATTCCAATACAAGGAATTACTTTTCACTCTTCAACAATCAATTCTCCACCTCTTTTACAAGCCCGTGTGGCTAATTCGACAACAAATACCAATAAATCCAAGTAATACTCAAACTTGGCAATAAGGAGTATCTTTGTCAATATATAAGCGGGATCCTTTGTATCAATCTTGCTTACTACAATATCACCACGGGCAATCACATCACACAAAAAATGGTACCTTACATCAATGTGTTTTGTCATATCGTGAAACATCTGATCATTTGTTAAAAAAATAATAATCTCACTATCATAAACTGTAGACATCTACAAGTCTTTACTGACTTTACCAAACAATCCCCTCAACAACATAACTTCTTTACAAAACCTCTATAATAGCCATGTACTCTGCCTCAATAGTAAATAATGTCATTGTATTCTGTAATGTGGCATCCCAACTAATAGTACAACCCCAGATGGTAAACACATATCCTGTAATTGATCTCATTTTATCAAGATCTCTTACACAATCTGAATCAACATACCCAATAACTCCATCTGTGTT